AGACTGGATTTTATGAATAGCTAGAACAGAGTTTGAGTTTGCTATCACCTTTTGTGGAAGGGCTAGGTTTAACTTACGGCAAGGACAGACAAGAAACGACTATCAGCCTTAAAGTTTAGTGATGTACAATTTGTCTCACGCCAAGTTCGTAGATAATAGCTTGATTGATGCGTACGCCTTTCTCAGGTCGCATACAATACGATGGCAACGAGCTTCGAATAAGGGCGCCTGGAAAGTGGTTTCCAAATACTGATATGGAGCTGTAGACCTCAATCGAGGGACCTTATCCATCAAGTGTAGTATTACATCCAAAGGCTTTGTTTAAATGCAATATCTCATTACTTTGCCTAGACATGTCTCCCTGACATATCGTATGCATTCACATTCAAACTCTTGGTGATTACTCTAATCGTTACTCATCTTGTCCTTTGAGTGAAGATGCGTGCATAGGGCTGCCCGGTAGATCGCTTGTGACTTGCATTGTAAGCAATGAAGTTGAACTGAGCACCAGACCATAGATAAATATCCACAATTAGCATCTTGAGTTGTTTAATTAGCCTTTCTAGTAAAATAAATTTGCATGCCCCACGCTTGGCTTTGTTCTATTGATTCCGAACTACGTCGCGGCTTTAATCTCTCGATAAGAGACCTCAACGGCAAATAACAGAGTTGATGTCCAAGCCACCTTTAAGCCTTCAACACAGGATTCGTCACCAGCCAGGGACTCCAAGATCGATAATGACCTCTAAGTGGGAGCTACATCTCATGTCCCGTGCATCCCCTCATCAAGATGAAGTTTTGGTCAATCATATGCCGTCAATAATTCCAGCTACCTCTTCCAATGAATCGACTGTGAAATGCGGCTCCAGCTTCTCGCATAAGCTGCGTTCACCATATCCATATCTGCACCAAACAGACTTTGATCCAAGGTTAGCAGCAAATTTGACATCCGCCTCCGTGTCCCCAACGACTAAGGTTCTGGAGGCGTCCAAGTGGGCAAATCCACGAGCTTTCAGGGCCGGTAGTAGAACTTTCTCGAAGCTTCCAGTGTCCGGCTTCCGCGTTGCGCCGGGTGTATTGTCTCCCACGATCAAGTCTCCGGGGATGGTATCAATGCCGTTGTTCTTGAGAGCCGTCTCAACCGCGGCTACACCTTTATTACTGACAATAGCGACAGGAACCTTTTCTTCATTCAACTTGATCAAAAGTCCCTTGGCGCCAGGAAACGCGGATACAAGCTTCTGTCCCTCATCGTTGTAGAAGCGACGGTACGTAGACGTCCATTCACCCTCGTCGAAAGAGTCGGGAGAATTATGAAGCGCTTGGAGAACCTCCTTCAGACCCAATCCAGAACCGATCAACTTCTGCACTTCAGACTCTGCTGGAGCTGAAGCTGGGAGGAGTGAGTCGAACGTGAGCTTAATGCTGTGAGAGATGGCTTGATGGGTGTCGAAAAGAGTCCCGTCAAAATCGAAGATGACTAATTGAGCAGGCATGCTGGCGAGTTCAGAGTTTGTGAGAGAAAATTAATAGTTTGAGTAGATGGTGAGCGTGGCACGAGAATTAATGGAGTGAAGTTCACAGATGCATGAGAAATTTTATTCAGGCTACACCAAACCCCGCTAACCATCACGCTGCGTCATCTGTCAGCAACAAATGCAGCGCCGCTCGTCTTCTTGGTCATATACAACATAGCCTTCGCATTTGTTTCAGAGTTCCTCTGGCATTTCATATTGGGAGAAGTCTTCAGGCATGTGAACCAGTGATTCCCACATATCCTGGAAAGTCAAATTCGTAAGCTTTGAACGGAGTCTCGTTATAAGGCAACATACCCAGTCTACACCATCTGAACTGTTCAGCATGGCCTCAATGCCCTGAAATTCTGTCGAGAAAGGAGTCTCGCTCGTGTTAGCTTGCCCGTTCATGTGCCCTATCCTTGTCAGTCTCCAATCACATGGGATCTAGCATCAGTCTTACCATTGCCGTTGCCATTGTATGCTGGGGCATTTTCTTGGTTTACAGCTGGTGGCATTGACTCATCCTTTGAACCAGTCGTAACAGCTTTCAACATCACCGTCAGCATATCATACGCTTGCTTTGCCTCAACAGAGACCGCCTTGATAGCTGCCCAAAATGCCTGCGAGGTTTTGAGAGCGTCGATCATACTCTCTCGAGTATACCCCACGAGCTCTGGGTTCTGCTGCTCGGGTGGCATGCCAAGTTCAACGCAGACGACCATGGACGCCAGCGAGAAGTCATGTCTCTCGAGAGATGTGAGGAACCACCTATCATTATACAGCAGTCCACCGACTTGGACCTCCTTCAGGATGCTAGCTTGATGTCCAAGAACTGTCATAGCTGAGTCAACGCAAGCTGCTCTGGAGTAGTTGTACTTGGGATCATGGTATGCCTTCGTCATGTGATGGCGATGCAGTGTACACCTAGCCTTTTGGAAGAGAAGCTCAAGGTTGTATCGCCGAATGAGGAGATACGGCGGGACCATGAAGCAATCTTCCAACTTGGCTATCTTATAGCAAGTGGGCATGGACTGATGCACTTGATGAAGCTTCTGATCGAGAGCCATGATCTCGTTGTAGTCTTCCGTCTTGCCAAGTGAGACCTGGTTGAAGATCGTTCGAAAGATGGTCATCATCTTGACTTTGACACGGGTGTATAGAACGCCAGTACCTTCTGTCTCAGGCCTTGGTGGAGGAAGCTGCGTACACTCAGGACCAAAGTCTTCATCGTTGATGTTTCGGGGGAGACGGGTATCGCACTGGGACTCCTGGATAAGCGACGGTAAGCCCAGTTGACAAGAAGTCAGAATGTCAAGTTGTTGGAGAACACCCCATACACGACGCCTCATCTCGCCATGGAATGGTGAAATCCGAGGATAGTTATCGGGATCACGATGGTATCCCATTCGCATCGCCAAACGAATGGCAATACCGGTAAGGATCCACACACCGAGATGAGCGTCTCGACGGCGCACGAATTCACCGTGGATATTGAAAAGCAGAGTCTCTAGAGTATACTTACCCGGCGCTGTGGAGTATTTGGAAAGAATAAGACAGTCGGTACATCTTTGCTGAAAGGACTCTGCGACCTCAAGAGGCGAACCCATTCCTCCCGGGAGCTCATCCTGTGATCGGATGTACAAGAAAGTTCCAGTGGCCAGAATTCCGAAGAGCATCCCAACCCACTGAACAGACACGGAATGGGGGTCATTCCAGAAGCGTTTGTACTATGACAGTGAGTGAGGCCAATAGTCGGCTGGTAACGAAACTCACCTCGCCTTCAAACTCTCCCGAATGGGTGATCACTTTGAAACATCAGTGGTAGTACTGTAAATCAAGAGTTGGACGTACAGATGGATGGCTGAGTCGAGGTGAAATACCGGGATACAAGTCTATCCGTGATGTGCTTCGGAGGGACATCCGCGAGGATATCTTCAAGGCTCGGGGCGACTCTTCCGGGCCCCAGAAGTAGCGGTACTTGACTTTGGGCTTGATCGACAATGCCCAGATCACTCGCTTCGTGGCTTTCGTCCAGATGCTCGCGAATATGCTCAACCTGGTTTATCGTTAGGATAGTTCCGATCACCAGTAGTTTACCTACCTCGTGGCAAATAGCAGACCAGTGACTGCTAGAAACATAGATCGTCTCATTCGGATTCGCCATCATCCTACCAGGCTTGACCTCAGAGCCTTCCTGAGAAGAGTGATGAGATCCTTGCTGGGACCCTGTAACATGAGATGTGGCAACATAAGTACTAGTCGGGCTCTTGATACTGGGTGATCCATTGGACGTCCCCTGCTGAGCTGGAAGCTGTTGAACAATAGAGCCGAGAAGTTGCTCAAGATGGCGGACGCGGTCACTCAGATCATTCTGCCTGCTATCTCTTCTCTGAGCAGCAACACGACCTCGTGGCCATGGCGCATATTGACACGAGACATTTCTCGCAACACAATTGCTACATGGCTCATCGCGATCACATTTCAGTCTGGGTATCTCGTCAGCATCGTCATCGGTGCCAAGAATAGACGGCGTACTTTCGTTGTCGACAGGAACTGCACGATAACGTTGCTCGAAGAGGCTGTTGTTGCATCTTCACTTCTACCGTAACGGTCAAGTACTGAGTATACAGATTGAGGAATCTAATTTACGAAGAATCAGAAAATGAGTAATACAGTAAGATCATAATTTAAGCTTAGATTGCTTAGCGTCTGGAGCGTTAAGGACACGCGGATGCTTACGTCACGTGAATGCCTCACGAACTGGCTACTCTTTTCGACGATGATTATCATGCACAAGAGCTTGTGATTCTCTATCTTGCAGTCTTGGCTATTGATCTGCGTGCGTTATTGTCCTGTAATTCGCGGTCCCGCTGTTCCATTCGGTGAGACCGGGTGAGATTTACTAGGGTCCCAACGTAGGGCTGACTCTGGGCCTTTAGGGCTGAGAATGCCTTGCTTAGACGATGGGGGCGTAAAATCTCATCCTGTTCTCGGGATCCCACTTCTTTTTGAGGGCCTTGAGCCTTTCGATCCTCCAGGGCTCGTGGCCGTACATTTCCTCAAGAGACTCGAAGCCGTGAGCGTAGTTGACGTATGCGCGTAGATGCTCTGGGTCTCCACTGGCCTTTAGCAAATGCTTCCTCAATTTCTCACCATGCTCCTGCGCAAGCCCATCCAGTGTCGTATTGGGCTTGTAAAGAATGTAAGGAGTGACGAGAATCTCATCATCGCGGTGGGGAAAAGCAGAATTCTTTGCATCAATTGCCTTGACGCCGTGGGTGGAATACCCTTCAAGAAGGAAGAATGAACCAGCGAACTCGGGAACACGTTTCGACATATCGGCGATCTCGTTGAAGACCTTTCGTACGGCCAAGAGATCGTAGGTCTTGAGGCCGATTGGGTATCGGAGGCCGGTGAAGCCTTTTGCGCATCCGACGCTATCGTCGCTCATAAGCGTGATGGCGGCTAACTCAGGCATTGAAGCTTCGCCAGCGTTGACGTTGATGGGGCCAAGTTCGTGAAGTGGTTTTGCATAGTCTCGCGCTTCTTGGGCTGCGCCATCTGAGATGACAGCGTACCAGATAATTGGCTACAAATTATTAGCCAACCCTTACATCTTGAGAAAGGATACTCACCTTGTCACGATCAATCTCAGGAATGTTGACGATGTAAATCCAGTGCGTCAAATACGGCGGCTGGGTCTTCATCATTTTATTCGTCAACTCCAGAACATCCTCCAGTTTATCTCCAAGGAAGATGAAGATCTCGTAAGACCACTTGGGGTTGTTGATGTCGTAGATTCGGTACTGCCATTCGGTCACAATGCCAAAGTTATGTCCTGCTCCGCGAAAAGCCCAGAACAAGTCAGGGTTTGACTCCTCGGAAGCCGTCACTGCGTCCCCGTTGGGGAGCACAACTCGTGCAGAAATGACCTGGTCTGATGCAAGACCGTATTGGCCTTGTAACCAACCATGGCCGCCTCCGAGAACGGGCGCCGAGACACCGACGCACTCACAGATGCCGGTGACTGAAGATCATGTTAGCACGGGGACTTCGTCTATAGTGGTTGAGCTACCTGTTTGCTTTCCAACTGCCCAAAGCTCATTTACAACCTTCTTCACACTCGCGCCTCCACCAATCCTCGCAGATTTCCCATCCTCCGCAATCTCGACATCATTTTGGTCTCGCAGGTCCACCACAATAACATCCTTGGCCAACTGCAGTGCTTCGGTCGCTCCATGGCCACCCGATCTAGCAAGAAACGGGATACCATGCTGGTTCGCGTATCTTATCTACAACGTGTCAGCAGGATTCTCGTCCCATGGCCATCACTTACAGTTTCTTGCACGTCACTCTCTGAGAAAGTTCTCACGACTGCTCCAGGCTGGGGCCCATGCCAATCCCGCCATCTACTAACAAGACCACCAAATGCCGAGTCATCGGGCAATACGATCGATGCTTGAGGTGAAAGCCTTGCGGATAATTCAGGCCATGAATTCTGCTTAACCAGTGATGCGAGACCAAGACGACCCAGAATCTTCTGCGGCGAGGGGGCCTTACCCAGCGCCCAGGATACACCTGCGGCAATAAACTCCATGGCTGCGTATCAACGCAAGTAAGTTGTTTACGGATGTAAATGGTTGGAAGAAGTCGGTCAGCATTTAAATGTCATCTTCAGTCCCCACCTCATCCTTCGAGCGTATTCGGCGTTTGCCGTATTACTCATGAGATCGGCGCCCTTAAGTCCGATGATGTATTTCTGGATGTCAGCCAATACTCTTTGATCTCGGGCAATGAGAGTCTGTCCGAGGTGGTGTTCTGCAGCGTTGTTCCGCTCCGCTTAGCAAGCTTGTGCTGGGCGAACATTTGACAAAGACCCGATCGGTCTGAGAGAAAGACGTTTAGTCAACCAAGTTTGGATATATTCTCTCAAATGTAATAAATAAATCGAGATATCTGTAGTCAACTACAACGTCCTTTTTCCAACTCTTGATTGACTGAACGTCCGTTAGAGGCGAAATGCCAGCGAAGACACCCTATGGGAATCACCATCTGACATTCATGTGTCGTGTTGATCAAGCAACCAACTCCACACGTCGATAGGGCAGCTTACAGACTCATTGATCAACACGACACTTGCTTCGACTTTATAATTGTTCTCCATGGTGGGTATCTTGTGTCCTCTGCTGTACAAGAAGCGTCAACCCTTGCTCAACACCCGAGTATCCTCAATTCATCCTCACTTGCTGAGCCCCAATACCTCCAAAATCTCATCAGTATCCGTGTGATCTCTCGAATTCCTCATCCGATGACACCAAGTCACCTTCTTATCATCTCCCTCCCCAACAAACAAGAACTCTCCGCCCTGTTGATTCGTGGTACCCCAGTTCCACACAGGATACCCCTCCAGTAACTTCCAAAACGCATTCTTCATGGACATCCACGCATTCCAAAAAGGCGAGATGGGTATATACTTATTCGGAGGTCCTTCTTCCCACGTCCGAATCATGCCGAGCGTTTTGTAAAGCTCTTCAGATGGATCAGTGTAGATGGGGAACTCGCAGCCTGTGTCTATGCGATACATGTCGACTGTTCTGGGATCGCCGTGACCTATTATTACGATTTCGGTGTTTATCTCTTGGAGCTTTTCTGGGGTCGCGTTTTTGGCAAGAAAGCTGGTGTAGCTCACGCATGACTGATGGTGTTAGCTGGGTTTAAGCCATGGGCAGGGACCATACATACGCAACAGAAGAAATGGCGAACAAAGACAACGAGAACTCGACGGGGTAGTCCAGGTCCACTGTAGATGCTCTTGAAGGTATGCTTCTGTCCCTTGCCATCGAGGACCTCAATTCCATCAGCGATCTTGAGTGCCTCTGCAGTCGGCAAGTCATCGTTGACTTGGCTGTTGGAAATTTCCTTCCCTCGAGGGATCTCGCACGAGCTGTTCATCTTGAATCTTTTGAGAACCTGCAAAGCTACCTAACTTTGCCCCTTTCTGAACTGGAAGATGCGGGGCTGTTATGTGCCTCGTTTTCCGTGGCTATCATTATCGCCAAAACATCAATTGTTTCTGACGTCAGCACTAGCGAGTTTATGTCACTGCTCCGGTCAGTGCCAAGAATCTTTGTCTTGAATTCGGAAGATCAGCAGAAAAGAGAGGGGGTTTGTCATGATCAACTTTCCCAAGGGTCCAAGACTGAATGCATTAAGAATACGAAGTCTGTACAAACAACAAATGGGGAGAAGCGCCAGAAATCGACACTATAACAGCACTCAATAATACTCCAGGCCATTTACTGCTAAAAGCGCTAAGAAACAAGCATAACACCACTAACCGAGCGCCACTAGACTCCGCTAGTCAATCACAAATCTGACACTCTGCTTCCAGTCATCCCTTGGCATCTTCAGCGAATTGATATGCTGCGACTTATTCTCAAATCCAATTCCAACAGTGCAAAGAATATCCAAGTTCTCATCAATACCCAGCTCCCTCCTGATGATGTCCGGGTATCCAGTTGGCGCAGCAGATACTTGCGTGCCCAATCCCTTCTCCGTCAACAGCAAAAGAAGTGTCTGCAGATAAATGCCCACTGACAGAACATCGCCTTTGTTCAGGGCCTTGTCGATGGAGATAACTGCGACTACTGGCGCGTTGTAGAAATTAAAGTTGTCGATGAGAGTTTTGGTCATCGCCTCTGTATCTCCGCGGGCAATGTTGTACCCATTTGGTCCATAGACGTGATGGCCCAGCTCCGAGCGATAGTGATTATATGTCTCGGGAATGGCATCAATCTTGAGTTCTTCTTTATTTTCAAATGCCGTAACGAGCGCAGCAGACAAGTGCTTCAGTGGCTCACCAGATGCGACGGTCACTCTCCAAGGCTGGATGTTCGTCGAAGATGGGGCATGCTGGGCGACGCTGAAGCAATCCTCAATGATAGACATCGGAACTTCTTGACCGGTACAGAATGCGCGAGTACTGTGTCTGTCTAGAATGGTTTCAGCTACAGCATTGCGAGCTGATTGGATCTCATGGCGCTGGAAGGTTTGTTCGGAAGGCATGGCGGGCTTGCTGTCGTCGTGGATGTGATCTCGACAGCCGAGAGCTTAGGGCATGATGTTCTTAAGTATTAACGACATTGCGACTTATGGAATTATACCGACTTTTATCTGCCTGACGTGTCGAAGCTTTTACGTGTTCGTTGCACTTATATCGACAGATTCTGGGGCGGCGTTATCCATGATCGGACTTAAGCATCTCTTCGGTCGGAGCTTGTAGCAACCCGGGCTTCCAAGAGTGCATATGGATATTCGGTTAAGTTATGGATCGTAGGCAGTCGCTAGCTTGTCGAATCAGGAACATCCAGCTCGACTAGGGGCAGCAGTTCGTCCGAAACGCATTACTCATGGTAAATAAGCAGCAAAGCTAGCTGATAAATACATCATGCAATAGTCCCATTAGGAGGGGTATTGTAGCCAAAAGGTATCCAGGGCCATCCTAAGTATTGGCCAGGGGTGATCACAGGCCACAGTACATTATCGGTGATACGGGATACATGTTTGCAGATCTGGGGTAACAAATCAACTTGGACAACCAGTCCAAAATATTAGTTGACACTCTTTTTGGCCGTCCTAGAGATCCTTGACTAATACGCTCGGTCGACTCTAGCTCAGCTCTCCATTGATACTCCTCATCTTGCCCATGTTTCATTTTAAGCTTCCTCTTCCTCCAGCCTCCATCTGCAAACGAACCTCTCATCGGCTCAACGAGGCCCATGTCCATTCGAGCTCTCAGCCTAGGCCGCTCGCGCGTCCGATGGAGAGGCTTTCCCACCCTTCTTCGGCTTCTCTATGAATCCAGTCCATTCCAACAACAAATCAGTCCAGTTATCGCAGGTCTCACATGTTTCCGTAGCTTTGGCGCCGACGGCTGATTTGCTAGCTGCTGTCCATGTGGAAGGCGCTTGTTAGCTATGTTGGAAGGTATACCAGGCCATCGTGTCTCGTGGCAGCAGAATGAGATGATTTGGGAAACCTACTGGGCAAGATGGCTTCAGCCAAGGCCATGCCTGCGAAAGCGAGATAACCGAGCCTCATGATTGAGGAATATGTTCGAAAGGTTTAGGTAAAGTGGCCTTTTTCAGTAAGGGTTTAAGGCGGGATGACCGTGACATTTATACCCAGAGGCGTTTACACAAGAAAGTCAGTGGCAGGTGCTGGCTGGCATTACGTATTCTCATATGAATTAAGCATTTCCACCGAAAAGA